ACATGGGCAAATTCCCAACTGTTCTGGCTCAGAATGAAGACAGAATTAAATTGTATGTTGCCTGTAAGGAATGAATTGTTATATGGCCTTGTTTCAGTGTTTGCCTTGCTTTTCTGTGGATATATGGTTTCTGTACAGGGTTGGATCAGCTTCAGAAGGGGGACACACAACCTCTTGAGTTCTTAAAGTGAAAACAGGAAATCAACCAAGTCAAAGCGTTCTTGATGTCTTGGAGAACTCATTGGAAAAATGAGACCTGTGGAATACTGGCCTATAGTTGGGGGTTCTGTGGTTCTAAATGTTGTAATTTTCAGAGAGGACAAACCCGGTCATACTTCTAGATGTACCTGATGAAATACATATCGTAGTCCTTGACTGCAAACTGCAAAATTATAAGCATGGTCAGCTGTTCAGGCATTCTATTCAGAATGGACTGAGATATATTTGAACAGAATAATTCATCCTTAGTTCTTCCTGACTTATTTTCTTTGCACTTATGATGCCTCTTTTTTGACAAAAAGTGTATAATTAATTTGAATGAATGTAATGTAATGTAGTAATTTAATGTTATGAATATAACATGTAATGTTATGTTTTAAAATAAATATATGAAATTTTGCATAAACTCCAAGACAAGAAATTATAGTAACACAAATGTGACATTTACAATAGCTGAATGTGCATGCAAATTTGCCTGCATGTGTGTGCAGGGACACACTTCAGCGGTAACCCCTATTTCCTGTTTGTTAGAACACTGACACTTGCTAGTGAAAAATATAGGCCACAGACTTTGCATGAGAGACAGGATAACTGCCACTGAAGCTACATCTTTTTAGAGTTGATTTGCTTTAATATTTAAAACTGGTCGTGTGTATTAGAGTGCACACAGTGGGCTGATCATGCATAGAGCTCTTATGTTGCATGTAGCATAAGCAGGGTCTGATCCCCTCAGGAAATCCTAGTCATCACCACATGACTTCTGGCTTTAAATGTTATGTTGTAGTTTTTTGTTTGTCTGGTCCACATTTCATGGCCTATATGAAACAAAGCTTATTTTGCATATCTCGCTTTTGCTGTACCACATCTAACCCATAAACATGTGTTTATTCAGGTCCATAAGACTTTATGATCTATGTTTTTTGTTAGTTGGTAAATCAATTTCCAATTCATTATTTTCCAGATTCCTTTGTTAAAGGTGCATTGTGTAATTTGGTTGATTGTAACTAACTTACGAAAGGCTTATACAATTTCTCTGCATATTAAGCTAGGAAAAGAGAAAGTTTTTCTATCATCTACACAATTATCTTCCATATTAAGAATCATATTTCATTGTTTTAATGCATAATAATTCACTGATCTTTTGTGGACTTACAATTCACATATAGGCCTAGTATTTCATGCTTAGTGTGGCTTTATTTGCTGAGATTTAAGTTTTAGGATAAAATATTTAGCTTGCATAATAATGCTTACTGTAGTTTTTTCTAGATGTTTGTTTGAATTGGATTTTACATTCTAAATTATGATGTCTAATATGGTTTGTGTGTTTTTAGATGCTGAAAGGGCTCTTTCATAAAGATATGCAAAGGGTAAATCAGGATTTATCAGGCTTTTACAACAGTGTCATTCATCTGAACTACAAGAATGTTTGTTATCGTTCCATCCTGACGGATGACATGTGTGACAGCTCAGTGGAATCCCGGAAAATAAACCGTGGAACTTTGACCAATGAGAGAACAGTTTACTCGCGCGTGACTTGTATTAACAAATTTGGTTCGTTTAGAAACTGCCATGTGAAAGCAAACCGCTCCAAGAATAAAAAGCAACATTGTAATAATTGTAATCCCTGTTTCGGAACAAAGCAATCGATCTACAGGTGTGAAAGCACCTTAGACACAAATTCAATAAGGTAAATATATCCTCAATATAACAGAATGTTCTATATATATATATATATATATATATATATATATATATATGTTGCAACTTGACAGAGATACAATACACAAGATACAAACACAGAACATATGACAATCATTACATGAATCTTTCACAGTGCTACAAATTTACGTATGGTATACAGAACATAAAGGAAAGGCTGACAAACGTGTACATGTGGACCACATGATTGTAATGTACATTAATCAGAACCTAAAGTGCATGTCAAGACACCTACTTTTCCATATAATTGGTTATATGCAGTTTTCATATTATACCAGATTCAGCTGTCCAGGAACTTTAGCAGGGGGCTCCATATTTTTTCAAAAGTGGGCATTTTATTCCTAAGTGAGGAGGTTAATTTCTCAAGTGTCAAGAATGTTGACTTTAATCAAAATATGTTATTGTGTGTATGTTGCTAACAGTCGTTTAATGAATAAACGCTGAAATGTGACTAGACAGTTTGAGAATCATTGCTCTGGATAATCCATCGTTTTGGACTATGATATAAAATTTAGCACAAGCATAACCAAAAGGGGAACTAATTGAGAAAAAAATATATAGGCCTATAATACTGTATTTAAAAGAATAGGTTGTGTGCCCATGTCACTGCCTCCCTTTCCTATTCATGCCTCATTTTGTTTCTTAGCAGATGGCCCACAACAGGTGTTGGCAGAAGGGGTAGTGGGGTGGTCATGTAATCAATGGCACAAATGCTCATTGGTGTCTGTGTATTAAACCATAATTAACATGCCCACACGTTGTGATCCGTTCCACCCACCAGGCCAGCAAAAATCAAGTCTTGTCCTGGCTTAGATAATGATTATTTGGCATACTCTGAACATGCTGTTTACATGGTAGATTTTCCTTATCTTTTCTGTATGCATGTATCAATACACATACAGTATGTGCACAATAAACACAATGTCTTCACACTTAATATTGTAATTCAAGATTTGGTATAGAACCTCAGTCTTCATGGCTCCAAATTGGCTAAACTTACAGGCATAACATTCCACTTTGGTATCAAGAAACTGTGGTTCATTCAAGGTTGAAGTGTGGATTTCACATGTGATTGACTGTTGGGTTAACATATGAAAAATATAGGTCACAGTAAACCATGAGGCTTCTCTGAGGCAAATGGAAAGTTCTAGGCTTCAGCGGTGATGGGTTAGGTTTACCTAGACCTATCATTTTATTTTAATTGGCTTTAAGAAGTTTTTGCCAAAACTCCACACACAAACTGAAATACTGCATTAATCATTGAGTGTTTGGAGCCAGAGTCCGAGGTGAAGGCGGTGCCTGATGCTAATATTTCTTTTTTTTGCTGCTTGTTATGCAAGTATGTTTTATAGCCTCCTAGTTGCATTAATTTTTAATGAGTAAAATTGTTATTCAAGCTTCACAACTACCTTGGGAGCTGTTTAGTGTGTGTGCGTGGTAATGTGCGAGTTTAAATTGGAACTTAAGATGCTTTTTCTGAACAGGTGGCCCAATCTGTTCTAGATATGAAATCGCACATTTACAGTGAGGGGTTTTAAAGCATGATTATTCAGGTGACAAGTGAAAAATGTGGTCACAGTATATAGTGTAAGAGACATAGTGACTGTATGTAATGGTGTTTCTAATTTAAATAATAATTAAAACACAAGAGACTGAAACTCATGGTATTAAATGGCATGTTACATTCGCTAGCCAAAACATAGCTGCTGGTAATTTCTGTAACTCTCTAGTGTTTTGGACTGAAGTGTTTTTAGACAAAGTCAAATGGTGTGTGTAACTCACTGACAAGAAAAGGTTTTCTTAAATCTGTGATACTGTACATCAGCTACAGATGAACATACTGCATTTGACTGACTGATAATTTTAACTTGACTTCTTAGACATGAATATGTACCTGAAAACATAGGAGTGAAATAAAAAAGAATATTTAAAACATATTAAAATAAGATTGTTCTTCAAATTTGGCTACACTCTCAGTTTTGGCTTTTATTGAACGCTTCTCTTTATACTTAATAATGCTATGTACAGATGTGTTACATGCAGCATAGACTGTTTTGGTTAAGTCACAGATTTTCCACCTCTGAACTGCAACTGATGAAGCAATAGTGTATTTCATAACTGATAAGTTGTGTTTGTACATGCCTATGTTTTTTTACTGTTCAGTAAATTCACCTTGTGTTATCATCTGGATATAGTATGTTATTTATTATATTGAATTACATGCTATTTATTTATTTATGAAAACAACACTGGAATATTTAGGTATATCTTTTTGTTTGAAGTTTGTGCAAGTGTCTAGACGTTCTATGAAAAGAGGAAGCCACATGTTGTCGTTAAAAAAAGGAAAAGCAGCAACCTTGTCCCCTCCCACTTTCACATTGAGTTGTATGTCACTTGCGTTCTGTCACACATTTTTCAAGCTAATGAATCATCAAATTCAACGACTTTGCAGACTGAATACCCTCTTTTGGGTAAGCTTGTGGTTAACATTTGATTTATGTTTTGGCATTTTTAGTATCTTTTGATAAATACAGTGATCAATTGATCATTTGAGGAGAATTTTAGGAGGTTTAAGGAATTAAGAGCTTGTTAAAATTGGTTTTGTGAAACATGATATAATGGTGATTTAGAAAATTTTGAAAATAAATGTTGATGTTGCTTATATGCTTACATGTGTCTTGGTAATCTGAGATAATAACTGTTGTAGGTTTTCTGCCCTACTTTGTATCCCTGTGTTCTGACATCTGGTCTCTCTAACATACCAATACTATATTTTTTGACTCGTAAATAATTAGCATATCTTGCAAACAGTAATCAGACTTTTGAGTTTAGATACCATTACATTCAAAACATGAAGTAAAAATTTACTTTAGCAAAATTTGCATCATGTGATTTTTACACAAACTGAAAATTGCCGTTTGGGTTAGTTGACCAATAAATCTATGACACTGATCATGTAATTGAAAATTGCATGTGCAAAAATGTTTAAGCCAATTATTGCCATATACAATAAAAATGCTAATGGGCTGTCTCTCTCTTTTTGTATCACATAATTTATTTAGGGCCAGAGGTCATTACAAATTTTTACGGCAATATGGCAGATGTAGGAAAGACGCCTGTGGCACGGAATGAGAAGACAAACAGTGAGTTTGGCTATGTGGGCATTGATGCCATCTTGGAACAGATGAGGAGGAAAGCCATGAAACAAGGCTTTGAGTTTAACATCATGGTAGTGGGTAAGTAGAGGTTTCGGTGTGCAATTACAGATGTGTTGCTTTTTTGTTCTAATGTACAAAATAAACATTTAGTATCACTGGAAACTCTAAATAAATTAGTTAGATTAAATAGATCAAGATTGTTCAAATAACGAATTGATAAGGGTAATAAATACAATATTATTGGCATATTCTGTAAAAACTTATTTACATTGTGATTTTTTTTTTTTAATCTGCTCTATTAGACAATAAAGCAATTTCAGCTAAATCAGGCAGAGGACCAAATAAAAAATGATTAACAGGCTGAATTTGGCCCAGCAAGCTGTTAGCTAAAAGGCCTTGATGTAATCAGTAGTAATTGGTGAACAAAAATTATTTCATATCCACATCCATATCCATAAAAAATAATACTATATGCAATTACTCCTACACCATTGTCTTTTAAAGTTTATACCTTATCATACTGTTTTTAGTGAGCAGGAAGGTTTTCAGTCATTGCCATTACATCTTTAATTCAGGCAGATCTGTTTGAACCTACAACCCTTAAGTTACTAGCCAGAGATCTTCAATCAGCAGGCAGCACCACCCAGCACTAGACCAACAATTTCACCTCTACTGATACAATGCAAATGCTGACTGACTGTTAATCATGACTTTATTCCTATATGCCATATTCACTGAATATGAATACCAACGTTTTAAGCTTGAACCTTGGTTGGCGGTTGCTTTCAGGGATTTTATAGTGGATGGTTTTTCAGTTACTTACATGTACGCCAATATGTTTTCCAAAAAAAAAATCCCTGTAGAATTCAGTTGGACATGGTTAATGCTTTTTGCAGTGAGAGCATCTGCCTGGCTGCTCCACTCAACTGATTCCAGCTGCAACCTTTGTTCTTGCTTTATCATGGATGTCAGTGAGAGATCCAACAAGCTGCTCCCTTGAACCTCCTCTAGAAACACTGGCTCTTTTATAGAACTGTGTGTGTGCACAGTCATTGAATGAACCTGGGGGCAGATGTTGGGTCAAATCTGCATATGGGAATGAAAATGCTACTCACAGTCGCTCACATATAAACACACACACACTTTACCATAGTCCCGTTTACTCCACTCAGTATATGGCTATTTGTTTGTTTACTTTAACACATGAATTAGGGTTGTTAATTTTGAATGCGTTTAAAAACAACTCGATCTAGTGCAACAGAATAGAGTCGAATGCAGGTGTCTGGAGATGAATATGTAGCTGAGCTGTTTAGTGGTGTCTTGGTGTGAGATGTCGTAAACACTGCTCATGCAGTGGTGGTGCTGGCCTGCGAGGTCCACTCTCCTGCAGAGTAGCGCCAACCCTAATCAAACTCACCTGCCTGTCATCTTCTAGTAATCCTGAAGACCTTTATTCACTTGTTCAGGTGTGTTTGATTAGGATTGGAGCTAAACTCTGCCAGACAGTGGACCCCAAGGGACAGAGTTGAGAAACAAAGGCCAAAATCTGTACATTAAATTTGTAGTTTGTCCAAATTTGCAGTATTCATAAAACAGTAGGTGAAAAGTAGCTGGATGACTTACTACTTCCACGAACATTCCAGCAGAGGTTCAATGGATGCTTTACTATATAAAGCCCACAGAGAAGAGTCATGAATGACAGGGAAGAAACCCAACTGAAGCCGTAAAACACATGACAGTGCCATCATGTACGGCTATAGTATGTCCAGATTGCTTTCATACTACACATATGCATACTTTTTAATGGTCAATAAATTCCTTGTCAAATGTAGTATCTCCTCAGACCAGGGGCGTAGATTACGCCCCTCACGTAATATCACGTAAATTCGTCCCCCGCACTTTTTCGGGCAAGTGTGTTCGCATAGAGGTTTTCAAGAGCCGGTGTGAATAAATATAGATTTAAATTGAAAGAGACAGGATAGTCTGTGCATGATCTGATGTTTTATTCGGACCCAGAATAAGGCGAGATGAACATCACGGAGCGCTAAACATTCCGTGCAGTGTATGTTTCATTCATACTCGAAGCCGGAGGGCGCTCTCGTGCAGAAAGTCGTACGAGTAAATTCCTAATATGGACAAAAACAGTTGTTTTCACAGAAAAACAGAAACGTTTGGGAACATGAAGACATTAAACATATGATTGCGACAATATATGGTTTATTTGTGTTTGTCAGGTCATCTCCAGGTAATAAATAAAGTATATGAACAATGCAGTGCTAATTGACAGCATTTATTACAGTATAGAAACTATTCTGCCTTATTATGTGATAAAAAAGTGTTTGTAAATAAAGTGTAAATAAAAAATTATTATTGGTTATTGTCCAGCAGTTATCTGATTTCTAAGCCAATTAAAAGCTAGAAATTAGAGAACAATTTAAGTTGCCTATACACTGCCAGTCAACAGTTTTTGAACAGTAAGATTTTTAATGTATTTTAAAGAAGTCTCTTCTGTTCACCAAGCCTACATTTATTTGATCCAAAGTACAGCAAAACAGTAACATTTTGAAATATTTTTACTATATTTAAAATAACTATTTTTTATTTGAATGTATTTTAAAATGTAATTTATTGTGATTTCAAAGCTAAATTGTTAGCATCATTACTCCAGTCACACGATCCTTCAGAAATCCGTGTCTAAAATGTAAAACTGCTAAACTATATAATTTACTCATACACTACCAGTCAGAAGTATTTTGTCTTTATCGTCACTTTTGATCAATTTAAAGCATCCTTGCTAAATAAAAGTGTTAATTTCTATAATTTATTTTCAAAAAAAAATTATACTGACTCTAAGCCAGGGGTGCCCAAACTCGGTCCTGGAGGGCCGGTGTCCTGAAGAGTTTAGCTCCAACCACAATTAAACACACCTGAACCAGCTAATCAAGCTCTTACTGGGCATACTAGAAACTTGTATGGCAGGTGTGTTGAGGCAAGTTGGAGCTAAACTCTGCAGGACACCGGCCCTCCAGGACCGAGTTTGGGCACCCCTGCTCTAAGCTTTTGAATGTACAGGCAGGTGAGTTTTTATTAGGGTTGGAGCTGAGCTCTGCAGGACTGCGGCTCTCCAGGACCGGAGTTCGCCACCCCTGGTCTAGTGTATAATGTTACAAAATCTTTTTATTTAACATAAATGCTGATCTTTGGATCCTTCTATTCATCAAAGAATCCTGAAAAAAAATGACTCAACTGTTTTAAATATTGATGATAATAATAATAATTACAAAAGGTTTCTTGAGCAGCAAATCAGCATATTAGAATGATTTCTGAAGGATGTGACACTGAAGACTGGAGTAATGATGCTGAAAATTCAGCTTTGATCACAGCAATCATTTTAAAATATATTCAAATAGAAAGCAGTTATTTTAAATAGTAAAAATATTTTACAACATTACTGCTTTTGCTGTACTTTGGATCAAATAAATGCAGGCTTGGTGAGCAGAAGCGACTTCTTTATAAAACATTAAAAATCTTACTGTTCAAAAGCTGTTGACTTGTAGATTATATAGATTACAGAAATGTTATATTGTAATATATTTCTGTAATATTTCTGTCCCCCTCACTTCTGAAATGATGGCTACGCCCCTGCCTCAGACAGTATGCGATTTTAGACACAGTATATAAGTACAGAGAGGAAAAGACGGCTGAAGGCCCAAACAAACAGAATAGGTGCAAACTCTGCCCAAAAGCAATGCATAGAAAGTTGCAAATCTTGTGTGTGAAATGTTCTAACCTTGTATGCAAGTTCATTCTCACATTATCTTGTGAGAAGTTCAGACTGCAACATACTTGATAGTAGCTTTAAATTAGCAAAGAAAAATGTGTTGCATCTATTGTAATGCATATACAGTATACAAGGTAAGTAAGCAAATAAACATGTTTGATATATTAAAACATTTCTATATGTAACCCTCTCTGTGAAATCCAGGCTAAAGTCTCAAAATCTAATTATGAGATAACAAGCATCAAAGTTTGATTTCAACCATTAATTTCATTATGATTTCAGTCTTTGACATGGTCTTACTCAGTCAATATTAAAGATATCAAGGTTACATTTTCACAGCATGTTCTTTACCTTATACAGGATGATTTTATGTAGAAAACAGTAAAACATATCATTAATTCCTTTAGTCATTTTATTAACAGCACACATACTTTTTGAAGTAAACCAATATGACCCATTTATGCATTCTTGTAGTTTTTTTGGTTCATGTATTCTAGGGATAATTGTGGAATTTTGTCCTTATAATTTAAAAGAAAAATTAAATTGCACTAAATCAACTTATTAAATCAACATCCCCAGTGCCAATTTAAAAGGGTCATATGATGTTGCTAAAAAGAACATTATTTTTACAAAGCTCGTCGGTCTGAAAAACTAGGTGTGCTGTGATTGGCCAGCTATCCAGTGCGTTGTGATTGGCCGAATACCTCAAGCGTGTGACGGAAATGTTACGCCCCTTACCATACTTTGATGCCGTGTCCTGGCCGGAACGACGAGACAAAAACATTCAAACCCATTATAAACGAGGCATTTGTTGCATCCAGTGGGGACATAATTACAGATTATAATGACTTATGCTGTCTTCTTAAGCGTTGCATTGCGTTGCATCGCGCCGTGTAAACATAAAACCATGTCTGCATTTGTGATCGGAGAAATGACAAACAACAAGCGCTACTTTACACTGCTCAAAACTCAGGTTTGAATCATCAGTGGCAAATTCTTTAAATATGAAAACGTACTTACAGTCTGTGAGTCAGAACAGCCGGCATTGTAGTCTACTCTACCAGG